TCAACTTCAGAAAGAGAAAATGTTGGTGCAAAGAGTGTGCACCTTTGGAGCTCTCTAATAAGTGATGCCATCCTGACATTCATAAAGTTGGTGCTTCTTGGACTTACCAAGCTGTGGAGGAGTAAGGAAAGTAATGCCGCAGTTTGGCTGGGCACAATTCAGGAGCCACTTGTCAAAAGAAATGAACTTTATTTTTAGAACCACACACGCCAAACAAAACAGCTCCTCAGGAAAAACCCTCAGAGCCCAACTGCCACCACCGGCTTCCCACAATCCTCTCACCCTAACACACGCCTCTCCACCTCCCACAATCCTCCTGCTCTTGAGGCCGATTGGCTGGGTCACATGGGCGGAGCCAAAGAAGCCCCCCAATGAGCAGCTCCGTGGTTTGAAAGGGCAGGGAAACAGCTCAATGAGCATCACTGCAGAGGAGCCAATCAGCTAGATGTTGCTGGGCCGCTGTGAGCCAATCATCAGCCGGCAGCTGGAAGTTTGCTGGGGCCCCTTTGGCTGTGGCTCTCAACAAAATAACAAAGCTGATAGTCTGTCACAGAGGACAGGCCTTGGACCCTGTAGAGAACCCACTGTCAAACCTGTGCTGCACGTGGAAGTGATGAGGTGTAAATTGGCTTTTATACAAATGAGCAACCCAAGGGAACATGGGTGGTGGGAGGGAGAGGGGACAATCATTGCTTGGAATTACACAGGTCATTGAGTCAGCACGGTAGGATACAGTCATAGTTTTATTTATATTCATATTTATCAAATACATGTGCATCAAAACATGGTAAGAACAAAGTTAGAGTGTTTTTGCAATACAGTAGAAGCTCTCGCCAATATTGTATTTTTAACAGATTTCTTGCAGTATCATTTAAGAACAATATAATTAGCCATGTACTCCTTCTAAAGGTACAGCTTGATGGTTTTTGGTATAAAGTTGAGGAACAGACTGTTAGATATTTCCATCACCCTATAATGTGGCATCATTCTCAACATAGTTAAACCTTGATCCTAACCTCAGCCCCAAGAAATGCATGTCTGTGTCTCCAGATTTGTGTATTCCATAAATTTCATACAAATGGAACCACACAATGCTCGGTCTTTTGCATCTGGCTTCTTCACCTGTTTCACAGTTCATCCCTATTATAACATATCAGTATTCCATTCCTTTAATTGATGAAAAATATAGTACTCCATTTTATTTGTCCATTTATGAAGAGGAAAACACACGGGTTATTTCCACTTTTTGGCTGTTTTGCAAGATGATGATGCTACATACGTTCCTGTGCCAGTTTATATGTAGACATGGGTTTTCATTTATTTTGGTTGTTTGCCTAGGAGTGCAATTGATGACACATGAAAACTCCCTGTTTAACGGTGAAAACCACTGCTAGACTGTTTCCATGACCTTGGCAGCCTCAAGGAGCACCAACTTAGCCTGTTGTTTTCCTCCTGTTTAGACCATGGTCATGGGTTTTAAGGGGAAATACCAGAGATGTGAAGTGCCTCCTCATCACATTCTCTCTGGGAGGACAGGATATTCACATAATATCACTGGTGATGCTAACCTTCATCATTTGGTTAAGGTGATGTTTGCCAAGGTTCTCAAGTGGACAGTGACTGTGTTCTATCTGCTTACTGTTGTCTTCACAAGTGAGTCACTAAGTCAGTTCTCCCCTCAGGAGTTGGGATGAGAATTAATATGGAGGGCAGGTAGCTGCATATGTTACCTGGAATTATTGGATGAAGCTAGTTTATCTCCTTTTCCCCATTTCTTTATTAACTCAGATATTTGTTTACATCACTTTGGATTTATGCACACTTATTTCATAGGTTGTATCATTTCACTTGAAGAAAAGGCCAGCATCGTGATTTTGTGATGCAGCCTGGAATATGCTTTTCCAGGGAGATCAGAGCACTCAGATTCTTGGCAGCATCAGGACAACAAAGCTTTAGTGAGATTCCAGGCTCCACTACTGAGCAGGCATCAACAACACAGTTTCACTGATTGACTTGAGCTTTCCCAACTTCCTACAACCCAATCTTGTTACCATAATTGCAGCCATCTTCCTTTCTCCCACCTCCACTTTATGAATACTCTTCTTATTCCCAAGATATCAAAAGTAGCCTGAGATAAAAACTTCCAGCCTGGAGACATGCCAGTCTCTCCCTGTTCTCTCATTGAGAGATAGGAGAAAACTTACCGGCCCCTGAGATGAGGACGTTCTGGTTTCCCTGTTCCCCCTCTGAGAGATAGGAAAACTGCCTATTTCTGTTCCCAAGAAACAAACTTGCCTTCCACAAGATCAGGGGATGCTTACTATATCAGTCAACACTAAACCTGCCCCTGGTGTGCGACCATGATTCTAGCCTACAAAAGGTAACATTCAAGGGGGAGTTGCTACTGCTCTCCCTCACTTGCTGCTGCTGTCCCTCTCTTTGTACAGAGCAGATCTATCAGGCTCCTGACAATAAACCCATTTCTGATCCCAGGTGAGTGTGTGATCAGTCCTGCGCCACTTTTCTTTCAAATGTGAACTATAGATTTAATAACAAATTACTTAAATAAAGATTCAGTTTGGAGGAGATAATACTTAGGGTATCATTTTGTTATATTAGTTTTAAAAATTTAAATCTTATCCTCCAAATCATTTGTCTTAGAGGAAACACTTGTTATTCTGATTCCCTCTCTGTCCAAATATCATTAAGCCTTGGTAGCCCATCATCAACATGAAGTCTTCAGGGATATAACACTTTTCATCTTTTTATTATCTCCCCATTTAGATATTTTCATCTTCATAAATATTCTGCCCAGAATATGAAATGTTTATATCATAGATGGACTGTTAACTATGTGTTCTGGTTCTTTGTAGTGTCACAAAACATTATAATATGTAACATCCCCCAACCCCTGAGAACCTGTTTGAAGCCTCTTGTGTGTAGTATCATCCTTATTGAGAATGCATGTGACATTTCAATGAGAGTAACTGTGCCATCCCATTCCTGCCACTTACTTGATGTGTGGCACTGGAATTCTTCCTTAGCCATTATTGGTCTAAACTTGATCATTTGTGAAAGGGGACTCACTGTGCCCGCCTTACAAAATGTGTCAGTGAGAAATCTTCTTTAGAGTACATGGTGTGGAGTTAGATTTCAGCCAATATTTGTCCTGCCTTAAATTTCTCCTCTCCCAGAGAAGTGATGACAGTTACCTAAACCTAAGAGCACACCTGCCCTGGAGACCACTGGGAAATTTAGCAGAAAGCAGCATCAAATACTCACATTTACATCATGAATCAAGCTTTGGGGCCATCTCAGTATTGCAGGAGGGCCTTCCTGAGAACCAGAAAGAGGATTAAACCATTTAATTTATTCCTCATCATTTTCTGTCCACTTATTTGATATTCTAATTTGATATTGGGGAAATAGTTTCCTCACTAATTCCCAAATGAAAGAAGAGTGCAGATAAATAGGAGGCAGGAATCATAAACCTTTGACACTCATACTAGTTCCATTACCGCCTACAGAAGTCTAAACTGGTTTCATATCTGCACCATCAATGTCTTCAAAGGGAGGTTATTGAGTACTCACTTGGACCCAATGTTATTATCATTATTTTAAATTTTGACACAGTATCTCACTCAGTTGCTTAAGGCCTAGCTAAGGTGTTGAGGCTACCTTTGCTCTGTGGATATCCTGGGTTCAGGAATGCTCATTTCATTGCCTAGCATGTTTCCAAGGATATGGTTACTCCAAAAATGATTGTAATTTCTGGATTCTGTCCCCGTGCACAGCTCTTCCTCTGGTGACTGAGCTCCTATCAAGAGTCTGAAGAAGACAGTTTCTCCGGATGTGGGTCATGAGGGCTGCTGAAATGTCTTCTCCAGATCTGAAGGGCAGCATGCTCAGGAGACCTTCAATACTTCCATCCTAGTAAGAGATAATGCCTGACTTAAGTGATTTCACAGCTCTGAACAAGAGTATATGGTCTAACTAAAAGGAACAAAGAAAGAAAAATTAAAGAGTATATTGTAGAATACCACACATAAGGTTCACAAAATAGCCAGAAAGTAAAGAAGCTATTTTGATCTTATCCTTGAAGAGGTTTAGCAGTTAGAATTAGCCTTCAGAAGCTGCCATGCTTCATAGTAGTCCTTGAGGCCATATTAGTGATGAGTTTCATTGTCACAAAGTAATGAATATTTCTGTAAGGAACTTGCTGTTTAACGCACATATGCAATAACTATGTTTTCAACAAATCTCATGTATCTCTCATTATGTGTGTGGAAATATGTAGTTGATGACAAGGAAGGTCCTTCTAGAAATTGGAAATTGTAGATATAGTTTTATCCATTGTCTAATGATTATTTTTAAGTCAAAACTGCCCCAAGAATGAGTTTAAAATGTCACTAATAAGAAATTAATTTTTTTAAAGTAACAATTACTTTTGTGTTTGCCATATTATAGTGATACCCAGTAACATCTTTCAAATGACCAGGTTCTCTTAAGTACTATTATGATTATTTTCCCAGAATATCACATTTCCAGAACATTCTCCCCTCATCATGCTGTGCCTGGGAAAACACTGATGTTTTGTTAACAGATTAGTTTTGATTTCTTATATTTTATTTAAATGGAATCAGATGGCTCATATTTTTTGATCGGCCTTGTTTTATTTAGCTTACATATTTGTTTTAGCTTTTAAAATTATCTTAGCCATGAACAGATGAAACAGCAGAAGCATTATTTATGAATATTTGAAAAAGTCTTTCTTGAATACTCAGTACATACTATCCACTACAGGAAGATATGTATTCGAGAAACAGACATTCCCAGTTCTCTTGTGAAATACCTAAATATCCATTTTACATACACTGAAGGAGAAATACTTAATTGGTTTATCTTCAAATTTAAGATTATAATAAATATTTTACAAATGAATAAAATACTTTGGAATTATTAAACTTTCCTCAAAAAAGGATAATATGTGGAGAGAATGTATTTGTCCCCATCCCTGAATTTTGATATGTTGCAGCCCTAATTCCCAGTGGGATATTATTTGAATGTATTCCCTGTAAGTTTAGATGAGGATATGAAGGTAGCCTTATAAGAATGTGGATGTGAGATATCTGTCACTCAGCCACATGAGGATGCTGCAGGTAGGCAGTATATGCACACTAGCATGAGGTCCAAGGGACAATAACAATATTGATAGTTTTCCCTGTTGTAAAGCAAGGTTTTGGGATTTGATGATGATAAAAATCAAACCAAAGCATTGGCTTGGGTCCTAGATTTTTTTTTGTACTACACATTTAATTCCAAGAGTAAGAAAATAAAGTGACTAATAAATAGTAATCAATGAATATTTTTATTTCAGTAATTTAAAAAGCAGTATTCCATGTACCACAAATATTTAGATGGAATTTCTTTCATTCTTATTCACTAAAATGTAAATTCGTATCCTAATTATTGAGAATTTAATAAACAGATCATTTTATTTCTAATGATATTGATCTTCAGCAGAAACCTCTGCTAGCTATTATAGATTACGTTTTTCAGATTTTGGGAGAGAGGATAGAATTCACAAGAATATATTTTACTTTGGACTATCATATGTAACTTCCACTTGGAAACAGTAATACCTTTCTACACAGTGTCCTGTGATTCCAGGACAATGCTACGATGAGGGGATTTCTGCTTAAAGTTTGTTTACAACTTGGCTACCGATACTGCTTCCTTCTGTTTTTGCGCATTTTTAAAATTGAGAGGAAATGCATATAACATAAATTTTAATCATTTAAAATTGTACAGTTTTGTATATTCATCACCACTATTTGAATTTGTTATGGTGTATTATGTCCCAAGATGTGGTCTGCTTCAGCGAATATTTCATGTGAGCTTGAGAAGAATGTATAATCTGCTATTTTTGGATAAAGTATAGGTGTTCCCCAATATATGATGGGGTCATATCCCAATAAACCCTCATAATCTGAAACAATCAGAAACCAAAGATGCATTAATATAGCTAAATGACTGAATTATCATAACTTTGTCTAGGCATCTATTTTCTTTACGGGGGCTTGAACCAAGTGGCATTTAAACACTGAGCTATACTCCCAGTCCCTTTTATTTTTTATTTTGAGATAGGGTCTCAATAAGTTTTGTAGGGCCTTACTAAGTATCTGAGGCTAGTCATGAAATTGCAATTGTCCTCCCTCATCCTCAGAGACATTTATATTACAGGCATGTACCACCGTGCCTGGATTTATCTAGCTATTTTCAATAAATGCAGTGAAGTTATATTAGCCTAAGATTTAGCAAAACCATCTAATACAAAATCGTTTTTATGATAAAGTTTGAAAATCTTGTGTAGTTTTATTGAATACTGTACTGAAGGCAAAAGAAGAAAAACAAAAACAGAATGATTGTACGGGTATGCCTCTGGACCATCAGTCAAATTCAGAGTTCCAAGCATTTTAAGTTAGAAACCATCTGCATTCTACAGATAGATATCAACGATATCCAGGGAACTAATAGTGCTTTTGAATTCCATTGTGACCTTATTGACTTTCTACCTTTTGGGGTCTTTCCATTTCTCATAATGAGAGTACTGTTGACAACAGGGACATTCTTTGTTCCACTAAGCTGGGCAGAGTTTTTCCCATTGCCTGAGTCTGAGCCTAATTCTGCTAGTTAGTATAATTTCTCAGGTGTCCTGAAGATGAAGGTGTTTTGTTTCAGAGAAAGGAAAGGGGACAAAGCGGAGGCCTGAACAAAGGCATTTGTGGTGCTTCGGACCAACTTGCAGTTGCCATAGATACATGATGTCATTTTGGTGACCATGTTAAGCAGGACTTGCTCTAGTATAAGAGTAGTATCAGGCCTCCAGGTGTTTGGATTCAGTGAAGGGTGTGAGTATTCCATGATGGCAGCTGAACCCCACTGGGGTGTGTGGATATGAAGTGACCCCAGTCTCAAGTCACTTCTTTTCCTCTCTGGGATTTGGTGCTCTGCTGACTCGAGAGGGAAAGAAATGTGGGACTCTCCTTGCCCCAGGCAGTGTGATCTGTGTGGTTATTGTAGGATCATCAGTGACTGTGTGAGTTTGGGCCACTTCTTATTCCTTTCAATTTTATTTTGATAGGATGGATGTGGAAAGAGGAGAAAAAGACCCTGGTGAGAAGTCCATTGTACATTCTGCTTATAATCACTATCCGATTGTACCAGTGCCATTGGTCACTGACCCAGTGCTAGTGTGGTGCCTTGCAAATATTTTCCCCATAAAGCATAGTAATGCTGGATTCAGTCTCCTTCTGGACTGCTCTTCATCTGGTGACTGAGCTCATTTCAATTGTCTGAGGAAGACAGTTTATGATGTGGGTCATGATGCCTGCAGAAACTTCTATCCATATTTGAAGGCTAGCAGTGTTCAGGAGACCCTGACACTTCCATCCATGGTAAGATATAATGCCTGGCTCAAGTGAGTTCATAGATCTGAACAAGAGTGCATGGTGGACTAGCACACATGAGGTTCACAAAATAGCAAGAAAGAACAGAAACTACTTTGATTTCATCCTTTTGGCATCTTTGCAGATGGATTTTCTTCCATCCTCATGTTTATGTTTTGTAGTAGCCTTTGAGGCCCATGTAATAATTTCTTCTTAGTCTGACAGGAATGATTTGTCCTTCTTAAAGAAAGAAGATTGAGCTTCTCATGTACTGGCAGTAATATATATATATATATATATATATATATATATATATATAATATTCATATACATTTATATATATTTATATATGATATAAATACATACACACTATATACAATAAATTTTATATATGTATATAATGTGGTCATATATATATATATTTCTCTCTATAGAGTATAATGAGCATTGATTGCAGTGTATCTCTTAAATGGGTGTTGACAATGCAGTTGCTTAGTCTCTTCATTAGCAATTTATGATTGTAACATGGATTCTTTCCTGGTAACTAGGGTTTTATCCATTCTAGAGTAAATTTTTAAAAAGCCACGCATAATCCAAGTGTTATATCAATAAGTTAGTTATAAGATTTTAAAAATGTTAAAATGTTAATTACATATGTGTTTGTTTTCTGTAGTGATAGTCCACAAGTTCCTTTATATTAATCAGATACTCTTAAATATTATTAGGATTACATTGCCAGGACGTCATATTCTCAGTTATGTGTCCCCAGCCACCCTTCCCTCATTATGCCTGTGTCCATGCAACCACTGATTTTTTGTCAAGAGATCAGTTTTATTTCCTATAGTTTTCTATACATGGAGTCACACAGGTTGTCTATTGGGATGAATGCAGGTCATTCAGCATATTCTTTTAATTTACTATTTGAATTAACTTTTTTACAAATGAATCTATGAAACAACAGATGCATCATTTCCTTACACCTCTGAAACTCTTTAATATATATACTATCTGCTATGAGAAAACTTGTCTTTGGGAAATTCTTTCGTAGATCACCAAAATATCCATTTAATATGTTCCAAAGAAGAAATACCCACATACTTATCTTCAGTGTCAGGAATTTAATAAATATTTATCCAATGAATATAACAAGTTGGAGAGATACAACTCTGTCAGATAAGAAGGCTAAGAACTAAATGTGTATCTTCCAAATTCATGTGTTGAAGCCTTAGTCCCCAAGTGATGGTTATTCCAAGTGGGAGCTTTGGGAGGTCATTAGGTGTTAGATGAGGTCATAAGTGTAGAACTCCCTTAATGGTGTTAGTACCCTTATTAAAACACTCATCAGGGAGAGAAATTTCTTCTGCTCTGTCTCTACCATATATACATAAAGGACCTGTCTGCAAACCACGAAGGGGTCCTCACCAGAACAAATCTTCTAGCATCTTGATGATAGCTATATCAGCCTTTAGAACTTAGAAATATCTGTTTCTTATTTAAGCCACCTGGTGTACATTATTGTTATAGCAGCTATAACTGACTAAGCCAAGAGATAATAAATATGTTAGAATTTTTCCCAGTTGTTAGCAAGCTTTTGGGCTTTGATGATGATAAAAAAGCACAAATTTTAGAAATGAATTATGTCCACACTTTTTATTTTATACCTATATATATATGAATCCAATAATAGAAATGTTAGTAGAAAAATAATAATCACATGAATATTTTTTAAATTTCAGTAATTTATTTTAGTCATTTCATGTAACATATTTATTTATTTATTTATTTTGGTGCCATGAATTAAACTCACAGGTGCTTAATCACAAACAAACCCCCCAGCCCTTTTTTATTTTTTTTGAATATTTTTGATTCTAGATGGACACAATACCTTTATTTTATTTATTTATTTTTCTGTGGTGCTAAGGATAGAACCCAGTGCTTCACACATGCTAGGCAAGTGCTCACCACTGAGCTACATAAAAATAGCCCCCATTTTTATTTTTTATATTGAGACAGGGTCTTGCTAGGCTTCTAAGCTGCAGAGGCTGGCTTTGAACTTCCATTCACCCTACCTCAGGCTCCTGAGCCGCTGGGATTACAGGTGTGTGCCACCACACCTAGCCATGTAACATATCTTTAGATGTTGTGTCTTGCATATGTATCAGCTAATAAAAGTATAATCTTTTTACCTGATTTACTGAAGAAGTTAATAATGTGCAGCATAAAACTTTACAATTATAGGGTAGTATTTTTCAGAATAGTTTTTGAACTGAAATTCACAAAAAATATTTTCTATTTTCACCTTGTACAATTATACATATCTATAACTGAAACCAATGAACAATGCCTGACTCCCTGTGCCTCAGTATGTATTTTATTTCATTCATCTTTAATCCCACGTTTAGAGTTCTCCTTTAAAATTATGACAATAACATACTAAATTGATTTTATAACCCACTAATAGGTTGCAGTTGGCTATGTGATGACACTTCTATACTTATCTTGAAGATACAGCTCAAAGTTCAGATACTGCTAGTTGATGGACCCTGCCTTCCACCATATACATGGGTGACTATTAGTCTAGGTGCTCTGGGCCACTATTGGCCATTTAAATGAAGGTAGGCTTCTCTTTGTAAACACCTACCTTTTTGTTCCTGTGGCCATCATTTTATAATCAAGAATAACTCTTTTCAGCTTACAGCCTTCACAAAGCTACATGATTTCCCCACTCTTCTTTGGCTTTGGTTTCATTCTCATCCTAGGGAAGAGCCACAGTGAGGGGAATTCTGCTCAGAGATTTCACAGCCTGAAAAAAAAAAAAAAAGATTTCACAG